GACACCTTGCATGTCCTTAGTTTTAGATATAAATTCAAAATTCTGAAAGAAAGCCATGTGTTTTTTTTCAAACTTTCTTTTGTGGCTACAAGAAGGATGTCTGGAGCCTGGAAACTCTAAATGGATCAAGTGTAGATGCAGCGGGTAGAAAGGTATCACACTAGTGTATAAGCGGGGCTCTGCTACTAAAGACTTCGCTAAGCCTTCTACCCGAGCCTCACGAAGAAGACTGAGGGTGAAGACTGGGGTAGCAGGGCCTGGTCAAGGTGGACCGTCCCGCAGTTGTGACTTTTACCATTTGAGAGAGGAGGGGACACACAGGGACAACTGTCCTGAAGGATCCCATGCCTGGCAGGGCCGGGAGAGTCAACAGGAGAGGGCGTAGTTAAGGGTTTGAAACTGCACCTCAGAGATTCCTACCCAGGTGGCTCAGCTGTCACTGTGAACCACAGAGAAGAGCTGAGGTGAGGAACTGCCTCAGGGAGCTGAGGGGAGCAGATTTGGGGCTAAGTCCAAGGGTCACCTGAGCCTCTCGCTATTTCAGATATATGTCAGTGTCCAGAGTAGACACAGGAAACTGGATCCTGAGAAACAGAGATACAGAGAACACAAATAGAGTCTAACAAGAGAGGGAGCCACGTTTATTCAGAGGAGAAATCTGGAACTGGGAGGTGGCTCAGTGTGTATCAAAGTGCTTGCCACACAGATGGATGACCTGAGTTCAATCCTTGGAACCCAGTGGTGTGTATCTGTAATCCCAGGACTCCTAGGAGGAAACTGGGGAAGTGGAGACAGGAGAATTGGCCAGATGCTTGCTGGCCAGCTAGCTAGTCTGGAGAAAACAGCACAGGACATGGAGCAATGGAGACATGCCAGAGAGAGAGAGAGAGAGAGAGAGAGAGAGAGAGAGAGAGAGAGAGAGAGAGACACCTCCAAAACTACGTCTGTCCTGCACAGGGTGTCTCTCTCTCTTTCTCTCTTAAACGGATAATTAAAAAAATTAAAGAGGAAGTGTTATTTACAAAAGCAGACAGGTGGAGTTTGAAGCCCACTATGGTACACTGCGACCTTTAATGGGTGGCGATATCTAGCTAGGGGCTGTCCCGTATCAAGATGGATGGCTGATGGTGTGGATTGGGGTCACAGAAGTGATCCAGAGGCAGAGGGATGGGGTGGGATACCGAGGTGGCAAAGCCACAGATGATCCAGGGTACTGGGCTGACGCTGGCCCAGCCTAGGCTTTGGGGGGCTCTGGGGTACAGACTCATTCTACCAGAATGATGTAAGGTGCAGCATGGGTGTGAAGAGAGCCAAGCCTGGTATTATGCACTAATTGTAAAGCTCCTGCTATGTACTTAAAAGTGGCCCTAAATTTTTGATCCATTTATTAGTACTGTTGCCATTGGCGATAAACTAAAATAGATATTATAAAGTTGGTTATTCAACAGTCAGAGAATTAGACATCCCTTCGGTGGCTTCTGAGTAAGTTCTTATTGCAAAACTTCATGTGAGTTTTCAGCATGACACTGCCACAACACTCAGACTCATAATTTCATATTTAGTGTCTTTTCATTTTTTTGCAGAGGCCAAACGTAAAAAGGTAAAATGTGCCACTGCGCCTTACGGGCTGAAGTGATAATGGTGACAGGGAACACAGCTGGCTTTTGCATTAATAACCCTGAACACCACTTATTTGATAGCTGCATTTGCTCTCCCCTGAGGCTACTTATGGCAAAGAGTAGAATTTTATGAAAAATCTTTGGTTTTAGCTGTAGAAAAAAGGGGGGAGGAGGCAGAATTGAAATGGCTGGGTGCATGGGGTACTGTGTGCTCATTTCCCAAACACACAGACTGCCACGAGAAAATGACTAAAAGGAGCCAGGTAAGTCTGCAGTGCACAAGAGGCCAATGTAGAGTTATTCTGTGGGGAAAACTGGAGAGTATCTGATTGAAAGTGGACATGGTTGCGTGACAAAACATTGATTTCGAAGCACATCACTAAAGCAAACAAAACAAAACAAAAACAAAAACCTTCCTGTGTAGAATTGTGTGGTTATTGTTCGCCAGTCCCCTGGAATTTTAACTGGTGAGTGTACAAGAGGAGGAGCTTGGCATCAAACAATAATAAAACACCTTTGTAGAAGTAGTGTCGGCAGCTGTGACTTAAAGAGTGGGGTTTGACAGCATTGCCATTTTATAAATCCCCAGTTTCCACACAATGGCGAATCCCCGCTGTCCCTGCAGGAGGCTCACTGCCCATGGCTCGCTCTGACAGCAGGTACAGGCTCGCTTTCTGTACTTGCGTGTGTGTTACTCTTCTCACACCCAGAGCCTGGCCCACGTTTCCTATGGTATCTTTCAGTCATGTTTTCCCTCTACACCACCTTGGCCATATACTGACCGTGGTTTTCACCCATACCCCGATGTTTAAGGCTGAAATAGGAAATGCAGTGATTTGTGCTTTTCTCTGACTCCTTTCTCAAGGGCTGTTTGTGTCTGGGTGTCATGAGAATACATGAACCTCTAATTCAACAGTGAAAGGCTACATTGGCTTTAATTAGGAGCAAGTTCTATGAATATAAGCCACCTGCTCATACGTGCATACATACATCCTCAGAAACTTCTGTGATTTCAGTTATAACTCTTATTTAGATTAGTAACTGTTTTTACCCCCTTCATTTTCTCAATTAAAAACAATTGGGAAATACTCTAACATACAAAGTCTGGAGGATTACACAGCCCACATTGGTCTTTCTGACACGCGTATATGTTCATGTTTGTATGGGGGTTTGTGGAGACCTGTGGACCTGACATGTGTGTGCGTGTGTGTTTGAGACAATGTCTTTCCGTGACTGTATCCTCACCATGTAGGCCAGGCTGGTTGGTATTGTCTGTGCCTGCCTTCCATATAACCAGTGCTGGGACTGCAGGCACAATGCCACTATGCATTGTGTGAGTTTTTTATGTCAGTTCTGGTCCTCCTGCTTGCAAGGCCAGTAGTCAACCTCCTGAGCCATTCCCCAAGCCCCATATTTGATGTGGGATAATGATCTACTTCACTGTAAAGATTTGTCACTGGTATTAGTTTAATAAAAACATTGATTGGCCAGTAGCCAGGCAGGAAGTATAGGCGGGGCTACCAGACTAGGAGGATTCTAGGAAGAGGAAAGGCAGAGGCACAGTTGCCAGCCACAGAGGAAGTAAGATGAGAATGCCTTACTACTGAGAAAAGGTATGAGGCTAAACACAGATAAGAATTATGGGTTAATTTAAATTGTAAGTGTTTGTTAATAAGAAGCCTGTTTATAATTAATATAAGCCTCTGCGTGTTTATGTGGGACTAAAGGGCTACAGGACCAGGTGGGATAGAAACTAACATCTACACATATTTCTTTTAATAAAGATATGCTCAGCCGGGTGTTGGTGGCTCACACCTTTAATCCCAGCACGTGGGAGGCAGAGGCAGGCAGATCTCTGTGAGTTTGAGGCCAGCCTGGTCTACAGAGTGAGTGCCAGGATAGGCTCCAAAGCTACACAGAGAAACCCTGTCTCAAAAAGGTATGTTCAACTGACTGTCACGGTCTTCCTTAGAAGTCCAAAGACAGATTAATTCTAGTCTTTACTTTCCCATTTTAAAAATATTGTCTAACATTAGGTATAATAGGTTTATCCCTCTACAATTAGCCATTATTATAATTCTGTTCTTCTCTCTTATGTTTTATATACTCCCATGGTTTTGTTTTTCTTGTATTTATCAATTGATTACCAGAATAAAGTTTGGACATTTCTGCAACATTACTAACTACATCTTAGGTCCCAGTAAAACATTTTAAAACATGAAGAAATTTTTAAGACTGTAAATTGAATTTCTGAATACTACCTTCCTTTGCCCACCCAGAACCCCTATATCTTTACACAACAAAATGAAATCGTATCTTTGAGGTCTAATTGTGTGGTGGGTGGTGTTGTTTGTATGTGCACACTACATGCGTGTGCTTGTGTGAGAGCGTGGGCATGGGCAGGCTTTCCAGTTTGTGACGAAGCTAACTGTCTACTTAACCCTAATTTACCCCTGTTCAAAAGTCCCCAGTGGTGATGACCTCTGTACTTTGAAGGGGATACAGGATGTGGGTGTAGCACAGCGATTCTTTTTGGGACAGGAAGGGTGACTGGTGCAGAATGTATTGCTTTCATGATCGTCTCTGGGTGTCCTGTGGGTGTGCACTGCGTGTGGGACAAAGCCTGACTTATCTCTGCCACTGACAGTTGTGTGTCAGCATTGGGAACATTGCAAGGTGGGCAGAGTGGTAGCTAATGTTGACTGAGGGGCTGCTGGCGAAGCTGGCTTCAAAGCTGCATACACCCACTAACTGTGAAGTAACTGTTAGTATTCAGGCATCTGTACTGGCCTGTCCTTGGGGTTCTGACAGGATTCACCCTCGGCTACAGCCACTAAGAGCACCACCTGTGCACATCCACTATGTTCCCTTTTAAAAGGGCCCCGCCCACCTCCCTCCCACCCTCCCTCTCTGCCCTCTTCTGGCTGTCTGTTCCCCTCCCTCCTTCCCCCCTCCCCTGTCTCTCTGCCCCTTTCTCCTCTCTCCTGTGGCTCCTTTCTTCAGAGGCCTGTCTCCCCACTCCCATTTCCCTTTTATGATCCCTTTTCCTAATTAAAAAGGAAACCCCTCTGTTTGAACACTGTCCCATGGCATCTTGCACCGATTTTCTTAAATTACAACAGTAACCATATAGTAACTGTACAGTAACCACCTCCTTTAGGGCTTCTCTGGGTGGAGGGTGTCTTGGACACCAAGACCAACACCCGACACCAAGTGTATCGGAAGGAATGTTAGGGCCAACCGTCAGAGATCTGACTGTGAGCACGATGCGTAGGCAAAGTATAGTTAGGAGTGAAATCCGTGGCGGGGAACTGCCCACATCACTTGGCATGGCAATGTCTCAGAGTGGTCCTGGGAACCCCATCTAGATGGACTGTTAGATGGATTGTTATTTGGATTTATTCTCTATGGACTGCAATCAGCACTGTTCCAGAATCGCGCTCCACAGCAGCTGACCAAGCCCGTTTAGCTTGCAGTGGTACCCCTGTGCCCGGGAACACTGTGGGAGGCGGAGGCAGACAAAGCAGATCTGGTACAGACTGGTCCCCTGATGAACAACCGTAACACAGGCAAGAATCAAAGGCATGGTGCTTGGCACGTAGCAACAATCTGTCTATGAGGCAGAGCCAGGAACTTTTGGTCCCTGATCCCTGGTGTAGGTTGCATGCCACGTCCAGGGGAGCTGGGAGGAGGCACAGGACAAAGCGACACATGTCTGCAACACAGCAGCCTTCCCTGGCTGTGGCTCAGTGCCTTCATCAGTGTTGGTCTCCACAGAGAACTCCCAGAGACCGAGGCTGGGTACTTGAGCAGGCTGCAGGGAAGGAGCAGGGAGAAGGTGATCAAGGAGAGAAAGAGAACAGCAGCTCTCAGTTGGAGTGGTTTGGCACCCAGAGGACCTGGCTGCCTTCTGTCACAGAGAGCAGTGGAGGGAAAACCTGCGTCCACATGCCAAAGGAATAAAGGCTTTCATGAGTTTCCATCCTCTTTAATTAAGCCTTCCTCAGTACACAAGTGGGATCCTCTTTTATTTAACAAAAAAGAGACTCGATCTAATAAATGAATAAAATAGAGATAAATTGGTTCCCTAGACACAGCTGAGGGCAGGGCCTCACAAACGTTCTAAGGCAGTGTAGGGCTCAGCACCAGGAAATTTCTAGCAGTGAATTTTAGATGAGAAGCTAAGAGACAGAGGAAATTGAATTGGCACTCATTTTTTTTTTAACCCACCAAATAGGTCAGATTAACTGTCTAAGGAGCCCCTAGACTGTACAGCAAGCCCACACAAAGTAGCCATCATGCTACTATCCCAAGACAAACTCCACACTGCCATGTCGAGGTCACTGGTGACTTTGTAACCCTTGCTGAGCCCAGTGTTTGGTAGAGGAGCATGGCTGCTTGTTGACCTTCAAGTGGCCTGGCATTTTAAAGGAATGGCTTGGCTTTGCAAGGTCCATGGTGTTGAGGCCAAGGAAAGCCAGCACCATGGAACATATATGGAAATAACTCCTCACAAAGGGATGAACCTGGAAAAAAAGAGGTGGCCTCATGTATACATGTATCTAATCCCCTGTTGAACAAAATGTCCCTTAGGAGGGGAAGTCTGTCACATGGTGCAATGCTACTTGTGAGACTTTCTGGTACCTCCGGGCCCCTCAGGTGAGCACTGTACAAGCTCCTCTGAATTCTGACTGTCAGTCCACACAGTTGGTAGCTACTTCTGCATACATGATTCAGGAAGGCATATAGGGACAAAGGTCACATAAATACATTTTTTTCCCTCAAGTTCAAACTCTTTCCACTAAAAATCCCCCCAAATCAAAGAGGATAGACTGGGAAATGAAAAAGATTTCTTTTTTAAATTAAAAAGTCTTTTTTTTTAAAGCCAATTCTAAAACTTCATACTTTGTGTCTTTTTTAGCTTCAAATAAGGTATAAACCTAAATTCCTCTTAAAGATTTAAAAAGCTTTTGATGTGGTGGTTTCAAATTTAGTACGTAAAACAGACCATGCAATGTTCATCTCTTTGTGCCTGGCTGATTTAAAATAACACATTTTCAAAAATCTGTCCATTCATCAATAGACTCATTGGTTCCATATCTTGGCTATTATGAGTGGTGCTGTAGAGAACATGGATGAAGATCTTTAATGTCCTTCCACAAAAGGATGCTCACCATCTGGGATGATGGACATTCTAATTACCCTGGTATGATTACTTGGCAATGAATATGTAGATCGAAACACTATGTTCCATAAACATATCAAGATTAAGAAAAAAGACAATGTAAAATTACAAAGAGCATTTATGCACGGTTATTCCCAATCTGTATATTATTCTGTATGAATTAAGCTTAAGCTCCATTTTTTAGGCACATACTTCTGTCCCATAAGAACATAGGTGGCCGGGACCTCAGCCCTCTGTTTATCACTTTTCTTTTTAGTCTGAACATGTCTTTAAGTGTTCTCAGGGCAAGTTTATAAGGAATACAGGCCTGAGAGGCACCTATGAATATAACTTTGGATATAAACTTGGGTTGTTAAAAGGAATTTTCTGGGTAAACTGTCACTACAACTGTATATTCTAAGAAAGCCAGAAACAAGTGTTTGCAAGATGTTTCTCCCATAGATGTGGCTGGGACCTTTAGTTTGTTGATCACTGTGGGGAAATTACACGTATTTTTTTTTTTTCTTTTACAAAGCCTCTGCCTCTTTAGTGTTGGAAGCTGAAGAGTACTCCATTCACTAGGCAATGTTTTTAAACAAGTCTCAAACAGGACAAAACAAATGAATCCACAACATGACCTGCAACTGGCTGACGATGTAGGAACCACTCAGCCAGGAAAAACAAGACCAAGGGTAACAGAGAAGTTAGAGGTGAAGAGAGAGGCACATTGGTGGGGGCAGGGGGCAGAGAAACAAAAGCTGCCAGTGAAGGCTGAGATTTTCATGAAACAAAGCAGTTCTTTCAATTCTACACAGAAATAATTTCAAGTGGTCACCTCCATTTGGAGGCTAGGATGTGGGGACAAATGCTTCTTCACAGACTACGGTATGTGGAATGGGTACTGGAGCCCTCAGAACCCTCCACTTGGAGAATGGCTGCCACTGAGAGCAGCTTTGCATTGTCTTAGGCCTGGGGGTGGATTCTGAGCTGGGAAAGCAGAAACTAGCTCATCTTTCTGGAACAGAGAGCACGTGAAAGAAATGCACGAGAAAACCAGCTTCCTGCCCTCACAGGAAGCAGTCCTCACCAGATCCCTGCCCTCACAGGAAGCAGTCCTCACCAGATCCCTGCCCTCACAGGAAGCAGTCCTCACCAGATCCCTGCCCTCACAGGAAGCAGTCCTCACCAGATCCCTGCCCTCACAGGAAGCAGTCCTCACCAGATCCCTGCCCTCACAGGAAGCAGTCCTCACCAGATCCCTGCCCTCACAGGAAACAGTCATCACCAGATCCCTGCCCTCACAGGAAGCAGTCCTCACCAGATCCCTGCCCTCACAGGAAGCAGTCCTCACCAGATCCCTGTCCTCACAGGAAGCAGTCCCCACTAGAGTGGTTTTCTACGCTTTGGGTGGCGGAGTCTCTTTAATGTCTGCGCCCTCTAGAAACCTTCTCTCTAATGTCTGTCACGTTCACAGTGAAGTTTGCCCCCACATGCAAATCCCCCAGAGCTTCAGGTTTCTCCTCTCACGTAATGGACCAAGGTGACAATCAGGCACACTGGGTGGTGGCGGGGTGCGGGGTGCGGGGGTGGGGGGGGAGACTGCAAGTGCAAAGAGGTGCAGTGCTGAGTCAATGGTTTACAGGAAACGGGCTTTTTCTAACGACATGGAAGGAGAAGTGTTCCATGGAATAGGAGCTGGCGGCCCTTACCTGAAGAAAGAGACAGGCATGTCACTGGGGCTATGACAGCTAAGTATTCGGTGAGGCAGAGGCCTGCGGGCCGGAGTGACTTCCCCTCCCCCCCTGGCTGAGTCAGAGTGTGGCTTCTGGTCCGCCCCTCTCTGCTTGTACACTCATGCCTTCTCGTATTTCTACCAAGAGTCCGCATCATGCCAGCTGCCCACCAAATCAATGAATGATCCCTGTCACTCTCTCTCATGTCCTGGTTCTGAAACAACCTTCTGCCGCCACCTGTCCTCTTCTTCCTGGCTACAGAAATAGAATGTCCCTGCCAGGCTGTCCCCACTGTTTGCCTGACAGGCACAGACATTTATTTCTCCCTGGTGTTTTTCTTCTCTAGATCTACCTATGTGACAGTGTAGCTTGACATCGTCCGGCATGGCAGCCATTATCAGTCTCAGCGTGAGGAGGTGGGGAGAAGGCCAAGGGTGTGAGTCACAGGGTCCGTCTGGATGCTGACTCTATCAAGGTGATGGTCTCGAGGGATTGTGCCAAGGCTTCTTAAAGATGTTCCGTTCAGCTTTCTCCAGGTAGGAGAAGGTGAAGCCCGGGCTCTAGATTTTACTAAAGAGTGCTTCCAATTGTATTTCCTGGTTAGCGAGGCACACTCTGTGTGGGCTCAATGCATTCTCACGGACAGGAGGTAGTTTTATGTTTATATGGTGTCTGTTAGTCTCTTGATGCCACGGCATTGACCTTCCTCACCCTGAAGCTACACACTCTCTTAAGAGCAACCAATGGCCTACATGTGTCTGTCATTTACATGATGAATTTAATCCTCATTGGGGTCCATTCTGTCTGTCACCTGTGGGCAATACAGGCACCTACCTCCATATTTGTGCACTCTGTAGAGGAGCAGAGGGCATGGCTGTATAGAGAATGCTATGTGGATGGCTACTTAACCAGACACTAAGGTTCCACCCTGATAAATTCAGGAGGTTCCGACAGCTTCTGTGACAGCACAAGCTTTGAACCCAGACCTTTTATCTCCAAAGCAGCTTATTTTAAAAAAATAAACACCAGTCTTGGAATGTGTTCATTTACTTTCTTATTGCTGAATCTTTTTCTAATATAAATACTAAAACTGTGGGGAGATCAGTGGACAAAAACTTTGGGGAACAAATGTAGAACAATAGTGCACAAGCAAGAAAAGCCCCAGAAGATAACGGAAGCCCAGGCCCTGCTGACGGTGGCCACAGTATGAAGGATTAGAATTCCAGGGCCCTTCATTTTAATAATAGTTTCTTAAATTTATAATGGTAAAAATGTTGGCGCTTAAGGCAGTTTTAATTGAGAGACACTAAGAGACTGTATCATGGAAAACTTGCTTTCTGAGCTACACTGTGGTGAGAAGCAGTGTTAGCTAGAAGGGAGTTCTGGGTGCCACACTCACTCAGTGACACAGTTCAGAAGGATGAGCAAGTAGTATAGGCCTGAGAGTGTCAAGCAGCCCTTTCCTAAGTGGCGGCCTTGAGTGCCCTCTGGAAAAGGCTGTCTGGAATGAGGGAGAGGCACAGTGCACAGCTGGACAGCAGGAGTAACTTCCAGAGTGGGGATGGCATGCAGGCCCCTGCACATCTAGGCAAAGTGTTCTTTCTGCCACTGAGCTGCAGTGTCAACCCTGACAGAATAGCTTCCACACACTAGATGACGTCAGTTCAAGATACTCTTAGCACAGAGGGAAAATGTCAGTCATCCTGGTCTGGTCATCACACACTGCAAATATATGGTAAAGTGTCACACTGCACCATGTAAGTGTGCAAAACTATGTGTCAGTTAAAAACAAAACCACATAAAATGTAAAAAAAGATAAAAATATGGATGTAACATGAAAGAGAGAGAGAGACAGACAGAGACAGACAGAGAGAGAGAGAGAGAGAGAGAGAGAGAGAGAGAGAGAGAGAGAGAGAGAGAGAGAGAGAGAGAGAGAGAGGCAGAAAGAGGGATAGTGCTTACAGACCACACCCACCACAACAGAAAACCACTTGCAGACTTTCTTTTGAGGTTTCTTTCTCTATGTGGCTAAAGCAGGGCTTTCCTGAAGTCAGATTTTAAAATGCAGCTCAACAATAAAACCGTTTTGTGCAGCTCCTCTGCTGCCCTTCAGGAAGCCAGCAGGCGCTCTCCCAATCAGGTGAAGGAGGATCCTTAGTGTGCTCCATTTCACCTGAGGCCCACTCCATGGGTGGCACTGTGATTGTGAACCATGATCATTTCTGAGCTAGCCTAGCCACAGGCACACTCTTTTGCTTGCCCCTTGCTGTGAGCCACGTGTTTGAAATGCCCTGTTTGTGGCTCTAAGTGTGCAGCGACAGATACCACTTCCTCTCCTATCATCCTGATTTGCTGGGTCATGAATCTTACATGTGACAACTGAATGGATGTAGCATTCAGATGTGATGATGCCCATACTGGACCATCAGTGTAGACAGAAAAGAATTAGCACCGGCTGGGCAGGAATACCTCACTGAGAATAACAAACAACCCCCACCCCAAAACAAAATAAAACAAACCCCAAACAGACCTAGTTTGAATTTGATTCCCTTCAATCTTCAGAAATGCCACCATTATCATAAGGTTGAAGTCTGATATTGGTGAAAAAAATTGATACTGGGGAGTCTGGGAAGGCTATGAGGGGACAGATGTCCTTTGTGTTAAAGAAACTCGGTGAAAAGCTATATTATAACTTCTTGGTAATTAAATAGGCTGTAAGAGCATGAGGCTAGGCTTGCTTTGAGTCAATTTTTTTTTCAGCATTATGTTAGCACTATCACTGAGGGACACAGAGTAAGGATGGGTTGAGAACTCGCCTCTTTCATTAGTCCATGCTGCCTGCTTTGCTGTCTTCTTAGAATGGAGGAGTATTGGCGGCATTGAGTAGCCTGCGAGTATATACAAGCTGCTCACGCTAAGGACTAGATTCCTGCTGCCATCTGTGGTCACTCGTTACACGATGCTTGCAGCATACATTAGAAAGGAGACTCTGTGTGCTCCTGATCCACAGGTGTAGCTCCCATTGGCAGCAATGCACATACCTCCAGTGTGGGGAGCTGTCATACAGTGCACTCCCTGGTGAGACAAGGACCCCATGGTCTGGCCACGGTGCATCGGGCGTGCCCTTCTCCATGAAGGTCAGGCATCCACTTGCCAGTCCTCAGCTACCTCTGGGTAATCCTGCTCTTGGCCACCTGGTAATCTGAAGGCTAAGGAGGCTACCGAGCAGGGAAGTGTCATTCAAACTCATTCTGAACAAAGTGGTTTTGCTAGTGCTATTTTCTTCAGAGAGTCATCTCCCTTGGGTGTAGAGAAAGTCAATCAAGAAAATCTCCAAAGGAAGGATAGATAGTGTGTAGAGCTGGCTATTTAATCATAGAAATCTTGAAAATTCCAAAGAGATTTAGTTATGTGATGTTTGTGCGATCTATGGAAGCATGGGCCACCAAAATCTAGCTGCTGGACAGATAAGCTAATGGGAAATTTGGCCATTTAACAACCAAAATTTCACATGCATTATAAAAATTGGCCAATTCCAAACATCTCCAATGTCATTATATCAGACGCTGTGACACCTGCTTCAGAACACTTGGAAAGCCACCAGAATTCATGCCAGAGAACTAACAGTGTGTGCCTAAAAGCACAGATGAGTTTAGTTTGGGGACAGCAGGGTCCAGAAAGTGCTGAGACTAAATTCAGCACTCACTGTTCCTGCCTGACTGCAGTAAACTGTACCAGGCTGTGCTTTCTGATGGTCCTGGCACCCACTGTGTAAGGCTAGCCTGTGCCAACTTCCCACTGAGTACTCTGTGGAGGAGTGTGTGTGTGTAGGGCTAGCCTGTGCCAGCTTCCCACTGGGCAGTCTGTGGAGGAGTGTGCATGTGTAGGGCTAGCCTGTGCCAGCTTCCCACTGTGCATCTGCCTAGTTAAGAGACCCTGGAAGGAGCTGTTACTAACTTCATGTCATAGAGAAGGAACAGCATTTAGAGACAAGGCAAGGGTCAGTTCTCATGAACTGGACACAGAGTCCCTGTTGGTGACGTGAGAGCATGGACTGTGTTTGCGCCTCAGGTTCTTCGTGCAGCCATTCCTTTTAGATAGGGCAAGACCCTGTAGGCATCTTTATCTTGTCTCCTCCCAGAGCTTTTCACACACTGCCCTGTCCAGCAACATCACCACCGGGAGTAGCCAGATGTAGTTACTTATCCGAGTCTTAGGTAACTCTGGTTCCTTGTATATGTTTTTGGTAGCTATATTTCAAGTGCAGTCATCATAGCTGTCCCTGGTGGTCTGGGGCCAGGAACCCCTGAGGTTGCAGACATCAGAAGATACTCAAGTCTCTGACAGCCCCCGGTGTTGTGATTTGCACATACCATCCGGACGCTCTGAATGGCTGCAGGAGATTCATGACAATGCAGCGCAAAGGCTGTGCACCCTGTCGCTATACTGCATCGTTTGGGGGAATGATGACACAGCAGAAAGCTCTGGACGCACCCAATTTCCCCCAAATATCTCCAGCTCATGGTCAGTTGATCTGTGGATGTGGAACCCACAGGTAACTTCCCAGCTATTTTTTCTAGGATGTAATGCTCCCCCAATTTAGTCCTTAGATGCCCCGATAAAGATCCTTAGTTCCCAACCTGGCACTGCTAGGGGAAGAAGTGAGTGGAAGCTTTAGAAGGCACCAAACATGTGCGGTCATAGGTCATCAAGGGATGTTGGGACCCGAGCTCTTCTCTTCCTTTCCCTTTCTGTGTCTAGCCTGAGGTGAGGCGCGTCTTTCACTTGTCATGACATAGTGTGTGGCCACAGACCTCAAGCAACAGGGACAGTTTGTCATAGACTAAAAACCCTAAGATAGCAAAAATGAACCTGTTTACTTTATAAGTTGGTTGCCGCGAGTCTTTTGTTGTGGGATTGTAAAACTAACACAGATAACCAGAAACCAACGATCAACTTAAAAGGCAGATAAAGAAATACATATTCTCCAACCTTGCTGGTTCTTCTCTGTGTTCTATCTCTTCTTCAGTTCATCTCATATCCACTCACTGAGTTATCTTATAGGATGACCCATACACAGAACTCGGTCTCTTAACCCTTCCTAGATGACCATTCCCCATCTGCCGCAGAGAGGAGCATGCAAAGGCCGTTGCCATGACGACCATCCTCAGCATCTCCTCTAGCTTTCTTTCATTTCCCATCAGCATCCCACCTGGGAAGTGGGGGTTTCCTGCTACCAGGTCTTCAGTTATGATCATACATATCCCCCAGTCCTGTTGACCTGGAGCTGTCTCATTTGAACAGCTCCACCCATTTCTAATTTTGCTAACATGTCACCTGTGCACCTGAAATTCCATGCATTGTGCCTACCCAGACACATGCAGGCCACCTCACAGCTGCCCCCTAAAGCCAACCACTGGATCAACTGTGGCTCCCCAGCAGAGACTCACACAGTTCTGTGCACTGACAGAAGTCCATACCTACTAATTAAATGGCATCTCCCTCCCCCATCTCTCTCCATATCTGCATGGAAAACACAGAATATATTCTTGCAGATTTCAGACTGATTCCAGAAGCACTTAGACTGAATTCAGTGATGAATTGGTGAGCACATTTCTTTAATGATCTCAACATGAAGTTCTGAATAAGAGAACACGGCCTCAGAAGTTCTGCTGGGAACACAAGGGCACACGAGTCAATGGCTAGGGACACGATATATTTGTATGTGAAATATTTTCATGAGGGCGTTACGTCTGAAGTGATGGAAACTAGCAAGCAACAAAAGACAGGTATAAGAGCTGAAATAAACTTACCCTGGGTTGCAATATAATGATTGGGTCGGTGATAACCCTAAAAACAAATGAGAAAGAATATCTGATAAGTTTAAAGCCAATGGGTGGCAGAGACGTCATACACTGGTCTGTGGAAACAACTCTGCATCCAGAGACCAACCACGGCATCACTTGATGGCTCAGTGTGTGAACGGTTGGGCACATGCAATAGAAGCTTGTTTGCATTTGGGATGTCATTGGCAACGTGCCAAGGACTGAACACATACTCTGTTCTATCGATGTAGACAGTTCCATCAATATCAACGCTCAGAGCCGTTCTCAAACACTACTCACAGCAAGGGCCAGGAGTTTAAAGAAGCAGAGTTTACATAAGACCCCTTCTTTTAATCATGACCCTATAGGAAGCAGGGAAGATTAAACTGGGGAGCCAGAAAAGGGGAGGCAAAGGTATCATAGGAGAAGTATCTGGGAAAGATAAAGTCAATTCAAAGAGAATTACTTCTAGTAAGATAATGCATCATCGCGGACCTTAATACATTTCTGTCCCTGGAGATTACCCTAAATATTGTTCTCAAAGATAACCGGAAAACAGAAAAAAATGGAGAGAAAATACAGATTTCTCAGGTACCTTAAATGCCTCTCGGTTAGATTACTTTTGCTCTTGAGTCAACAGCAATGAATAAGAAAGGCAGCAACTCGGTAACACACTGACTCGTCCCACATCTCAAAAGCGGGAGCTGAGACCAATATTACGTAGAATTCTTTAGAGAATTGCTCATTTGTTAGCAGTTGGTCCCACTAAAAGAATGGTGATTCTGCAAGTCTATTGCCTTAGAAGGTGTCCAGCAGACAGGAGGGACATGTCTGATGAACTGAGCTAGCCCACACTGTCTCAGGCGTGCCCGTGTTACTGACCACCTCTGTCAATTTTCAGTCCTCATCTGTATTACTTATCAGCTGGAGATGCCATTAAAATCCTGCACTGGTTGGCTTATCAACTTGATACAAACCTAGACATATCTGAGAAGTGGAATCTGAATTGAAAAAAAAAAAAAGCCTCTAAAAGACCAGCCTTGTAGGCAAGTCTGTAGGGCATTTTCTTGATTAATGATTGATGTGAGTGGGAATAGAAGGAGACACTTTGGGAATGGAGTCTAAACACAAAAGTCATTTGTGTCTCATGTAGCCCTTATCCACATAGCCTAAAGGCAATCTGTATAGTAATTTAACTCTGTGGGAAACTATGTTGCAGCGCTATGGCTGAAGGTGCAGGGGGCCCTTTGTCATTGGTGACACTAAGCTTTGTATTGTGCATTGACTGCAGTTTGTCACATGAGGTGGGGTGCAATTTTCCAGTTGTGTGGCCTTGTGTCAGTACTGGAAAAGTTTGGACTTTGGAGAATTTTGGATGCGGGGATTAGGGAAGCTTAACACGCATATGGGTAAGAGCAGACCCTGGAAGTGCTAAAGGATTGAAAACCTGGCCTAGCACCGCCCACGCCTGGGAATGCGGAGGCATCTGTTGAATCTGTTGGTGGGGGTCTGAGCCTTGCAGGGCGCCACAGGGCACCCTGGATTTTCTACTCCTGATTTCATTCATTCCTTCAACTGAAAACAAGCTGTCTCTTAAAGAATTTATCCTAATGTAAGACATTAAGTTAACATGATGCAGAATGAGTAAGGCAGCCATCTTCAATAATTAAACAGCTTGCATATTTAATGACATGCCTTGCTTGTCTTGGAAGTCCTGGTGAGCAGCTGTGGATGACTTTGAAGGCAAGTTAAAAGTACCTCGATGACAAGAGCCTGCAAATCATCTGCACTAGGAATTAGACGGTTTTTGTCCCATTAATATGCAAGCATTTTTTAAAAAGTTGTTGACAAAAATGTAAAAACATTTTCTTAGTCCACAAAAGCATGGGTAGGCAGAGAGGGTAGAGAAAGGGACTAAGATGTTTATCTCCAAATGGGCTCAGCTGAAACAGCACTGACTGCATCCTGTGGAGTGTGGGAGCCCTGAAGCTTGTGGCTGGTCACTGATGCCCATCTACTAACTGCATCAGTGGGGTGTGGCATGCATGTGTCAGAGCGTCTGGGCTTACTGACAGTTTTTAAATACATACATCGATGTAATTGCCGTTGATATAGTCGGAGTTGTTGTCACCTTCCAGCATCTGCAGCCTTACCCTTGAGTGGTCATCTGTAAAAGGAAACAGAACAGCCATGAATGGAGGTGACCCCTGTAGGGAGAGATCCTGGATACCTGTACTGCTGACCACACCTGTTTGGGCGGGTCACAGGTATGTAGAGGGGTAGGATAAAGAGTGAGGAGGAGAGGTGCTCCAACTCTTTTGGGGTTCAGGCCGGGTCTCGAAAGGCTGCCGAGACTAACCTGGGTTTTTGAGGTAAGTAATATTCCACAATAAAATACCACTATCATTCTTATTCAATATCCTGTTATAATTCCGCTACAGACCCCCAAGGCTGACCTCAGACTCAGAGCTTCTGTGTGGCACACAGCTCCTCCCCATGCAGGGATCTGCTTTAAAGATGGCTGGCTGCAGTTTGGAATTTGACTTCCTTGGAAGGCTTAGCACCAAGCCTGCAGTATTACTTGGAACTAGTGCCCCCCCCCCCCCCCCCGGAGATGAGGCGAATGCTTAATGAGCTGGAACCCTGAAAATGGGAGCCCAGGCAAACTTTCTTCTTTTTAAAGTTCTCTAATCTCAAGTATTTTGTCACAGTTACAGACAGTCCACTAACAAGATAAACAATAAGTATCACGTGCCTTCTAAACTTCCCATTTTGTTATTAAGGTTGGGATCTATAGATATTTTTAAGAATAAATCTATTTTTTTTTTGATCACTGAAATACATACAATATTGTAAAAGCTGGAGATTCATACTTAACCCATAAGAGTTGCTTTTTGGAAGTTTGAACAGCTTCACTAAATCACATACAAGGCTTCAGATGCTGAAGGTTGCCTATAAAGTCCTCCTTGAAAGATAACGGCTACCAATCCTTAGCCCAGCCTTCTAGGAAGTTTGGAAGAACTCTGTCCTAGATAAGGTTTTTGCTGCTGTGTGAGAAAGACCATGACCAAAAGCAACTTGGGGAAGAAAGAGTTTAATTTCAGCTTACAACTCTCAGGTCACACTCCATCACTGAAGGAAGTCAGGACAGGAACTCAAGGCAGGAACCTGGAGCAGGAGCTGTTACAGAGACCATGGATGGTGCTGCTTACTGGCTTGCTCCTCAAGGCTTCCTCAGCCTGCTTTCTTATAGAACCCAGGACCACCAACCCAGAGTGACACCACCCACAAAGGGCTGGTCCCTCACATATCAACTGTCAATCAAGATAACGCAGTGCAGGGTTTCCTACAGTGAGCTGGGCTCTCCCACATCAATAATCAATAAGAAACAGACCACAGGCTTGCCCGCAGGTAAATCTGGTCGGGCATTTAGTCAATGAGGTTCTTTCTTTCCAGACAACGCTAGTCTGTTGTTAAGGTGATGTGAGAGTACCCGGCACAAAGACCTGGCCCTCTCTGTAGTTTTCTGGTTTTCCCAGAAAACCAGCCTTTGCCTCCTCTGGAGAAGGGACTGGAAGAAACTGTCAGGAACTTGGCTGTTTCAAGACTAAAGGAGAACAAATATTATCAAGCACTAACCCTAACAAACAGGAAGCAACCTATGGGGATGTAATTGTATTAACAGGTATAGTTACATTATTTTCTGAATGGAAAATCATCTGTACAAATACTATTTGTTATCTCAGCTACTTCCCTGAACATCTATCTTTTGAAAAAACCAAAACAAAACAAACAAAAAAAAAAAACAAAAAAACAAACCAAACCAAACCAAAACAAAACCCTCCAGAAGTCTCATGGTCCTCAACCCCCATCACTAGTTTTGTACCAGAGACACAAAATGTACCACCAAAATATTTTCTGAATAAACAAAATACAAACATTATTTTTGAAAAACACATCTTTTTTATACCACCTCTAAGGGTTTGGCTGAGTTCCGGGGAGCTTGCCTGGATTCAAACCTAGGCACTGAAAAAAAAAGTTTGGCCAAAGAGTGAGTCCCTTTCCATGTGAGCCCTCTCTGAAACCCAGTATTGAGCATGGATCAGGGCCAGCTCCCTGAAAGGAAGCTCTGTGGTCACTGAAGGGTGGGGTGGCATGAGGAGGGATTTGACAAACTCCCATCACTATCACTTGGAAGAGTGAGACCCTCACCAGCTGCCATCCCCATCCTCTGAGGCTCACGGCACCCAATCAAGTTTGGTGAGTGAGAAAGAAGTATGCAATGTAAGGCAGGAGACAAGAGAGCTGCAGGGGTGGACCATCAGGTGTCTTCATATTTGGCCAGGGGCTGACTTGAATCTGCTCCTCCACTTGGCAGACTAATGGGCAAAAGTCAGGATTTTACCTCAGGTCCCGTGGGATGAAAATTTTCTTTTGCTGTCACTGGTGGGCATAATCTGTATGGGTTTTCTAATTCCATCCTTGATGAAGCCTACCCCCGCCCCTGACTCTTCAGTAACATTAGACATGTATTTCATGTCAGAGCCTCAAAGTGAGTCAGACCTCATTGCTAATCTGGGATGTGGTCACAAACTGGGCTACACAAGCCAGAGAAGAATCCAGAACAATGGTACTCAACCTTCCTAAATGCCACGGCCCTCAAGTTATTTTCCATGTATAGTTAGTTGACAGGTGTCAGTGACCATGCACAAGCTTCAGGGCTCCCACACTCCATAGGATGTAGTCACTGCTGTCTCAGCTGAGCCCATTTGGGGATAAACATCTTAGTTCCTTTCTCTACCCTCTTTGCCTACCCATGCTTATGTGGACTAAGAAAATGGTTTTACATTTTTTGTCAACAATATGCTAAGGAGTCCACTCTGAAGATATGCTATGGGAAACACACAAGATACAAAATAAAGGGCAAATACTACGGGACTCTGCTCATGAGGTTCCATGGCAGGGAACTACACAAAGGAACAGAATGGACATTATTTGTGGTTGGGCTGAGGGAGGAAGGGAGAACTGTTTAGAAACTCCATGCAGAGTTTCGCATTTGCAAGCTGAAAAGAATCCTGGAGATAGATAGTGGTGACGGTTGTCAACAGCGGAAGAAGGCAAATGTGATGCTGTATGCAGTAGTCCACCCAACTAAGAGAAAATACAAACACACTCAGTAGTCCACCCTTCCTCCATCCTCTGCTATAACCCTGATCTCCGTGGAAACAGCACCTTCAAGGATGGTAAGGACACTCAAGGACTTCCAGTCTTAAAAGCCCTTAGCTGGAAAGATCTTACTGACATAGGCTTGCTCCCTTTCTCTAGTGATGTATACGCAGTGGTGGCAAGGAGTCTATCTAGCGTGCTAATGGAGCGGTCATACATAATTGATGTCCATTTGCTAGAAATGTCTAAGAATTAGAAAGGGGTTATGAAGTATTCTCTTTTCAGTGTTAAAACAAGTGTGAGCAGTGACAATTGAACCTACCTGCCAGGAAGATACAATTGTTCCCTGGTGTATGTTTAGACTTTGTCTCAGAACTGTGTAAATACCCAAATCTATGGATACTTATATTCTTTCTATAAGATGTCATACTCTTTGCATGTAACCTATGCAAACTCCCCTGCATACTTTGAATTATCTCTATGGGGTGTGATGGAAATGTGAGGTAAATAGTTGTTCTCCCATATTGTTTAGGGAATAATGACAGGAAATCAGCACCAATTCAGTAAAACACATTTCCTCAAAGATTTTCAAGGTGACATTGGTTGACTCCATGGATATGGTACCTAGTGACGTTGTGAACTGGCTCTATATTAGTATGAGTGAGAATGGGCTATAGGAGTCAGTCTATAGAGAGCACAGGGAGGCAAAGCAAGGTGACTATGTTTCTTGGTGACCATACTAGTTGGTTCTAATTGTCAACCTGACACCAATTAGAATGGCCAAATGTCTCCAAGTGGGACTGTCAACATCAGGCTGGCCTGTGAGCATGTGATGCTAATTCATATGGGAAGACCTAGCTGAGAGTAGGTGTCACCATTCATTGGGGTGGGTGCCACCATTCCCCTGGGTTGGAGTCTTGGACTCTGTGAAATTGGAGAAAAAGAGCCAAGCATGCATTTGTTCATAGTCTCTCTGCCTTTGACTGTAGATGTGACTGGCTGCATCACTTCTTCCTGTCTTGATTTCTCCACAGAGACGTATGGTGACTCAGGACTGTGGACTAAAACTAAACTCCTTTTCTACCAACTTGCTTTTCTCAGGGTATTTTTATCACAGTAGCCAGAAAGGAAGAAGGTTACTCCCCCATCCTTCTGTAGGCTTGTGCAAAAGCATCTTTCCTCAATAGCAATACAACAACAGGAAGTATCCACCATCCACATGGAGCCACTGAAAGGGGGGATGCGAGGGACCCTTCTGGGTCCAAAGCCTCTGTCCACTGCTGCTGTGGTAATTAAGAAGGGCTCAGCTCAGATGCTGTGGCTTCCAGCTTCTTCCTTGAAGTCTAGTAGTCAGTGAACCACAAAATCAACATTGGCTGACGGGAACAAATAAGTAGGATGCATTGCCAATTGTTTTTTGAGTCGAATGAATGAATACATCATAACTATTCTTTTAGGAAACTCAGTTATCTGGTGGGGTTGTCCCTCTGTGTATATATGTTTCTCTTATTGGGTGATTAATAGATCACTGATTGGCTAATTGGCCAGGCAGGAACTATAGGCAATGCTAGGAGATGAGGATAATTTTTGGGAAACATAGGTGCACGAGGTCACAATGCAGCTGCCAAAAGAAGTAACAGATCTGGACATCCTCCGGTAAGCCAAGACCATGTGGAAATACTTAGAATTGTAGAAATGGATTAAAATTAAGACAGAGCTAGCCAATAAGAAGCCCTAGTCATTGGTCAACAATTTAATAATTAATATGTCTCTGTGTGTTTATTTTGGGGCTCAAGGGTGTCTGGACCTGCTGGGCCAAGAATCTCCTGTTAAAAAAGCCATATCAAATCTTTATAAGAAAATGCCTACTAGACATTTCTAGCATGTAACAAATACAAGAATCATCCAGAATAAAGAACCAAAGACATGCTAAGCACCCATGAACACTCCCTGTCAGCTGGGCCTTCTAGGATCAGGATCTGGGTATGATTGTTGAATGGA